AGGCTGTTTAGACCTCTGTTGCCTTCTTAAGAAATGCGTTGGGTTCGTAAGGATCCGCAGCGCTTAGAGATCTTCACGCTCTCCCTCTCGGACTCCAATTGCTTTCTCTCCAACTTGGGCGGAAACCACCCAAGCTCTTTATACGGCTACCAAGCCAATTGCTAGCTGCCAAGTGTACGTAATTTAACATAAGCCAATAATGGGGCTCGAATTAAAATACAAATGGCAGGAACTCCTTTGCACCGTGCATTTCTGAGATGCAAAAGAAATGCACCATGCAAAGAAAGCTATAAATTGGCGGGAAAATTCTCCGTTGCACCGGAATTCTCCTTTGCAGCAGAGAACTCCACCGTGCAAAGAAGCTGCAATTTGGCGGGAAAATAATTTAGCAGTGCCGAAGCGCACACAAAACAAAAATCACAACTTTGGGTTGTGACACCCTCGATTATATACTATTCCATCCCTTACTTCCACACAGGTCTAGTAGGTCTTGTTGCAAGAAGATGACCGTAGCCTTCCAGAGAATTTAAGAATTACAAAAATATCTTGGACATAGCCAGAGATAGAAGCCAGGTACACTTTGTCCCACTGTGATGCTAGGAATTTCCTCTTTCCAATGATATAAAACTCCTCATTCTAGTCATAAAGAAGCATGGGGTATCTACTCTACCACTTGTCTCTGGTACATGGCTTAATATTGCCCATCTTGGAATTAATATGTCTATTGCCATTTATATTTTTAAAAATAAAGGAATATAGAAATAAGATTTGCTTTGTCTTTGTTTTGCACTTGGCTCAGACAACATGTACATAGTCTTTGTTTTCAGATTCAGTGTCAAGCTTTCATGTGCTGGCTCATGTCTTCAAATTGTAGGTTGCAAACACTGTACAAAATGCTCAGAGTTGGAATTGTATAAATTAAAATGTAGATGCTGTGGAAGTGCCCATATTTTTATACACAACTTGTATATCTCTACATGGCAAAATGATGTGCTGTGCAGAACTGACTAAGCTAACACAAAAACTCAATCTCAGGCACCAGAAGTAAGACAGTTGTATTAACTTGGTACTCTGCCAAGGCTAATATATTCTCTGTTCCAGCCTGCTAAAGTTTTCATAAGAAACCCGCTTTTACTTCCCATGAGACTCTTGGCTGCCACAGTGCCAGTTGTGGAGGTGTGGCCAGCCACTGCTCTGGTCATGACTTTTTTTGCGTCCCACCACAACAAAGGCTGCTGCCCCAGGTGCCTCTGGCTGTCTCCCCTTAGTTATACTACTTCACCCTTGCTCTGCGCAGGTCTAATGCAACTAATTAGCCCAGGCAGAGCGCTGCTCTAGTAAAGGCATAACTAGCAATTTTGGTGCCCTGGGCAGAGATTCTGTTGAGCACCTCATGCTGTTATGTGCTCACAGAAACAACATTTCAGAAGACAGAATTAGAACATTTCAAAAACCAGAATTTAAACAAAAAATGATCCTAAAATATTGGAAAAATGATCTGAAATCAGCAAGCTGAAATCCAAGTGAGGAAAATACAAAATATATCACTGAAGGTGGAAAAGAATAAATGCATAAACACAAAATTGGGAATAACTAACTAGGTACGAGGACTGCGCAAAAGGATCTGGGGGGTCACACTTGGATTCAGCTGTAGGAACAAGGCCTCAGGAAAAAAATTTCCCTGAGGTCCTGTTCCTGCAGCTAAATCCATCTGACCTTTACTTAGTGTCTCTCCAGATCAGTCATTCACTGTCTTATAGGGAGGGCATCTCAGGTGGAGTTTCACAGGGATCTGTTCTAGGCCTTGTACTAGTCACTATTTTCATTAATAACTTGAACATTGGCATAAGGTGCAGTCACAAAACCAACTGAAACAGCCTGCAGATGCTTCAGAAGACAGAATTAGAAAAAAAAATGATCCTGAAATATTGGGGAAAATGATCTGAAATCAGCAAGCTGAAATCAGTGAAGATGGTACAAAATATCATACTGAAGGTGAAAAAGAATAAATGCATAAACACAAAATGGGGAATAGCTAGCTAGGTAGCGGGACTGCACAAAAGGATCTGGGGGCCATACTGAACATCATGCAACCAACATAATTCCAGGACATGAAAACAGAAGTGCCATATGTAAGAAATGGGAGGTAATTATTCTATTCTTTTCAACCTTCATATAAAGCCTTACCTGGGAGTTCAGTTTTGGGCATCTTTTTAAGAAAGGTATAGAGAACTTGGACAATGTCCAGAGGAGAGCAAAGAAAGTGATAAGAAGTCACGAAAATAAAACTTGTGCATAAAGTTGAACGAATTAGGGATGTTTAGTCTAGAAATGACAGTTTAGATATTAACAAAACCTTTTAACTAATAATAGTTAAACACTAGAACAGGTAAAGACAAGGGTTAGACAAGGGTTTGTTATGGGTTAAGGGTTATTGTTGTTAAAGTTTTGGTTTTAGGGGTAACTAATCCTGTCTCAATATAGCGGGATGTAATAGATCATCTCGGGAGGTCTCTTCCAGCCCTAGATGTTTTGCAATTTCCATGATTTCCAGAAAAGCTGAACACTGATTTGCAACTGAAGTGAACAGGAACTTTCCTTTGAACATAAAAATGCTCTAAACCTTTTTGTGTGTGGGGCCGGATCACGAACTTTTTATCACCCAGTGGGCTGGTGAGCCATATTCAGAGACCTCACAGGAAGTGGTATCACATCAGGAAGTGATGTCACATGACCTTTGACACCAATGAAGTTGCAGGAAGTGACAATGAAATGGGCCTGGAAATGTGGTTTAAAATCCAAAATAAAAACAAGAATGAAATAATACCAAACACTTTACTAAAATAAGTACTTTCGCTTTTACTCACTTCTCAATAAATGAAAGAAGCATAATGCAAGTTGGCAGATCAAATGTCGAAAAAATATCAGCCAGAGTGGAAACTAATCAAAGCAACAAATATGGACATTTTTGAGAATAATCTTCAAGAAGATTTACTTTTATTGAATTAATAACTAGTTATGACTAAAGGTTACATAATAAAATCCTGGTTTTAAATGTTGACCATAATTTAAATAGCAACATCAGAAGGGCTTGTCAGCATCATCCAGTCTTAAAATAAATTGCCCTTTTCTACACAGAGATTGATGGCAACATGAAACTTGACTGCTAGGGAAGCCCATCCAAAGATATGTGCTCCCTTCACACCACCTTACTCATTCCTACAGGTGTTCCCAACAGCCCCTTTCTCCCCCACACACATGCTCCCTATACCCTTCCCTACATGCACCCCCTATTCATCCCTACATCCACTCCCAGCTCCCCCACATCACTATGAATCCCCCCCCACACACACACATACTCCTTGTTGACCCTTTCACCCCAATAATGCCCTCACATACGGATCCCTGCACCCACACCCAACACACATACAGGCAACACTCGCCCACCAAAGTGTCAAGGGACCCGCATGCAGCCTCTTACCCTCATAAGATTCCAGTGATTCAATTGCTGGCAGCCTGCTTCTGAGCAAAGCGCATCTAGAGTAGCTCTCATGGTGCACCAGACCAGCAGCTTCTA